TTGAAGTTTTTCTGTTCTTAATGCAAGAAACAGAATAAGTGTTACCATATAAAAAACTCCATAAACTTATTTCTCAATTTCTCTACATAATGCAACAAGCATTGGCCACTAAAAGCTGTCTCTTCAAAAGTGACTTAGAAACAATTACGGTATGTGGACTGACAGACGAACTCTGGCATTAGCAGTCAGCAATACAATATTTCATTTTACTGAAGTCTGAAGTCTTGGAACTTTAGTTAAACAGCAAGTACTGTGACGGCAAAATAAATAACACAGGCTATACTATGAAACAAAACGATGACGTGTTTTCATAAGCCACAAAAATATTCCAAAGTAGGAAAAACTTCAGAAAAAGGCTGTGAAGCACAGGAATACATTAAACTCGGAAGAGACAGCTTACCTTGATTTCGGTCTCTGCTTTCTCCGATGTCAGTACTGGTAGTAGCAATTGTATCTGCCAAGGCCATCAGTGACATTTGCTCCATCCTAGTCAGACCTGGCAAGCTTGAATGAAGTAGGTGACGAGAAAGAACGTGAGCATGCTCTGGTCCAAAGTAAGTTGGGCTATACTGAGAAAGATCGATGACTTCTGGTTTTGGACTTTCTTCCTCCGCATCAAACGTAACAAGTTCATCTGTGTTCACAACAGTATTTTGAAAGAGATCTTCATAATTGTCGCTGGGGATATCCTTTTTATTTTGACTCTTTTGATTATTAGACTTCTCTGAACAGGAATGAGATGAATCGTCGTCCGCAGCAAGCAGAGCGTACAAAGGCAATGGTGGAACAGAGTCGATTTCAACGTAGTCTGTAGTCTCAGTTTTGCTGAATGTTTTGGGATCTCTTGCAGTACTTCCACTAGCACTGATGGTCAGAGATCTGAGCCTCTTATCATGATTAGGTTCAGATTCATTTACAGCAACAACTTCTCCAGCAATGCACTTCACCAGATGGGACAGAATAGCTTTTGCTCTACGTACTTTACCAAGATCCATGAGTTCCAACAGTTGATATGGATGGTACTGAGGTAAAGTGGGAGATAACGTATGAGCTGCTTCAAAAAGACCAGAATCTTCCATTTCTGTAGACAGGTCACAGGCAGATCTTTTCCCACTAAGTTTCTGCGCAAGGCTGGTCATCGATCTGGTCAAACTTCGCTTCGGTGGATGCAGACCTGAGGCAGCTGACTGGCTTTGTTTCAGAGAGCTAGTTATACATGGCGTACTTCCACTGCAGGAACCTGTACTAACTAGATCCTGCTTGGAAGGAGACTGCCACTGGGAGTAGACATGCATTTCACAATCCATTCCAACTACAAGAATGCCATCACGCACCCAAGACAAGGAGACTGGAAAAGGAGGTGACCCCTCTACAGATGACACCAGGTCAACACAACGCAGCAGAACAAACCTAGAAAGAGTTGTATCCTTCGTACTGCCACTATGGGAGATGGCTACAATCTCCTTACCATTTTGTTCTTGCATTTTCCCAGACAGCTGACCAAACATATAAAGTTTTGATCCAATTCCCACTGTCAGAATATGTGAGCCATCTTCCCTAGACATCCAGTCTAAGTGTACCAAGTGCCTAGCGCTGGGCATAGTATTCCCATCATGCGACGGAGAAATGTCTTGCCGGTTGTATGCCACTAAATTACTATCAATACTAACACCGGAGTCTAACATGGTGCCTATCTCATCTAAGTGAAGAGTCTGCTCTAAAATCCAAGAAGAACCCCCTGTAGATTCACATTCAAAAATACTAACATGCATTACAAGATCTTTCTCAAAATGACTATTTTTAGATGTTACCTGCTTGTATGCTACTGCTAATCTGTTTGTGTGTGCGCAGCTAACTTCAGCTGGCCTTCCTGGAACATTAATAGCACTACTGTTAAGAAGTCCGTCCTCAATCAGCAATGGCCATTCTTCCCAAATATATATCACATCACTAGGTGCACTGCATTCTGGCATGGAAGCAGCTGATGATTCAGTGGTAACTCTGCATCTCCAGAATCGAACCTTTCCATCAGAGCACGAAGTTGCCAGCAGATACGGTGCACGACAAACAGGATAAATGGAAGAAGAACTCAGATGCCCTAAAATTAAATAAAAATACACTCTTACAGGGAAAAAGTAAGCAGAAATTGAAAAAAAGTGAAGACTTTTCATCAGCTATTTTATTGTTCTGAAACAAAAAAAATATTAAAACTTCCTCACAAAGTGGGTTGTTTGCAGGACCTCACAAGGGAGAAAACGTAAGAAAAAATACCAGGAAATCATTTTATCCTTTATTTCCATTCCCTGCTCTAGAGAGGAGACAAATTGTATGATTTAAAACTGAAAATTAATATCTATCATCTCTCTCATCAAATAAACATTTCCTGTTCAGAAATCTGGAAGTTTTTATAAAGTAGTTTTGGAAATAACAGGCATGGAAGCCTTCAAATTTACATATAGATGCCAGAAAAAAAAAACTTCATGAATGACTGCAAAACCAAATATGTGTTTCTGTAATTCCTTTTATTGCAAGAATCTGGAATTTAATATATATTGTATCTTAAATAAAAGCTTGATTTTACTATTAGTTCCAGGATCAACATATAAAGTAAGGGGAGCGAGACTTAGGAAAACATTTGGATCTACCTACAGGCATTTTAATTTTAATAACAAATAACCAAACTTACTATTACTTTGTTGCCATTTTAAGATCTAAGAAAGAAATGTAAGGATTCCTTATTTTATTCTTTAAAAAAAAAAAAGTTACAAACCTGCTGATGGCTTTACACTTATTATCTCTACTCCTTCTGGCAAATCCAGCTCTTGACTATACACCATTCTGGAAGACAGAGTAAGCCAGCTGGTGCTCTGAAGGTTTGCTCTACAAGCCTGATACTTTTGCGTGAAAGGTGACTGGATCTTCTCTGGATCCGGTGAAGAATACAACTCTTCTGTCTGCGTTGCTGCTTCAGGTATATTTGAATCTACCCTTTCATCTAAAAACGTTGGCATTGTTAATTTTAAAAAGTCAATGATTTATTGTACTACAAGAAGCAATTTCACTTGTTAAAAGTTCCAAAAAGACAGCTAAAACAAACTTAAGATTTTACTTTCATTTTACTGAAATGCATTCCCACATTCAGTTTTAAAGTGCTAGCACACCTCAGATTAAACACTTTTGAAATCCCAGAACTGCTGAGAAGTTATAGCTTTAAACTTCAGACTTAAAACAATCAAGCTGTAACCTGAAACACCAAAACCCTAAGCAGTTATCCATGGTTATCCATGGAAATTAACGCTTCATGAAGCACGTGCAGCCAGAGACTATTAAGTAAGACACAGAGGTCTTCATCTTACGAAGAGGGGAAAGGTTATTCTTCAGAAAAGTTTTGTTAATATTTGCTTAAAATGTAGCATCTCAGAGATTATATAATATGAATGCTTCATTACTTTTTTTTTAAATAAAACTCAACAGTTGACGTATAAATTTGATGAATTTGGAACACGAAAATTGCCAGTAGTTTGGTTGAAAAGCCTTATCAGTAATGACCTTATCATATAAGTAGATCAGACAAGTTGGATTTTTAGTCTTCTCACCAACTTAAAAACTAATTGCAGTAACACTTAAAATAACTGAAGAAATTCTGCCTCTGAGAGCAACAGTAAGACAAATACCAGTTGGGTTTAAATGACAGAAACATCCATTACAGCAAATTCCTTTGGTACGTGGTGAATGACAGATTCATGCCTTCTCAAAATCTTTAATGGAAAACTACTGAAGTATAACTTAGCTTACATAAACTAATTTATAGTTTTTCTAGCAGTTCAGTAGTCTGAAAGAGGTTCAG